GCTGTGAAACGTGGCTCTTCCGATCTTTATGTTATGATAATTTTTGACAAAGTTGCTCTATCTTGAATTTTTAGAAATTATCGATATATTAACGCAGTGTCCGGTCAATTAGTTTGGTGACTGTATATAGTTTTTTATACAAACTTATTAGAAATTTTCTTATCGTTAGAATAAAAAATTTTGTTTACGATACCGTCGCTAGTAAGTAATCCTTTCCCTAACCATGGTTCGATAAAAGTATAAATATGACCTTTTGAAAGATGTTCCTTTGAGTTACTTAGTACTTTCTAAAATTAGAAATGAAATCAAATTATGTAATATATATAAATAATAATATTTCCTATGAATAATAAAATAGAAAAATTATAATGTAGTACGATGCAGCACGAACTTGCGGCGAATAAGCGCTATGAGCTTATTCGCCGCTTTGAAAAACAATCTTTCATATGCAAGGATAGTTAGATTGAAATAGGTTCATAATCTGATAGTGATTTGAATTGCACTGCGAATATCTCTCCGCGAAACTTACCTTCAAAACATTACATATATGTATAATAAATTGTTAAAATAGGTTGATGAAAGATTAATTTGTCTTTAACATTTTTTTTACCTCTAAATCATCTGGATGATGAACGCTGACGAAAGCAATCGGACCTAACCAAAGTTTATAAATAGGATAATAAGTTTTACCAAGTACACGTTGAAGTTTCCATAGAGATTCTAAAAAAATATAAAATATAAAATGAAAAAAATAAATAATACAAATTTGATATATTGAGATTATTCATATGTAATCATTCTTGCGAGCATTGTCAGTTAAATCTAAATAAAATTTTGCTATTTTATTTTATTGGCATTTTTAAAAGAATTGATCTATTTAAAATGCATTTTAATGTATAGATTATTCTCTGCATTTTAATTATAATGTTGGTAACAACTCTTTGGTATTTAACTATATTGAATAAAAGGTTAATTCAAAATTAAAATTAATAAATACTACTATGCGTAAAAATAAAAGAATTAATAATCATAAACGTCCCTAAGATATTCTTTGCATCTCTTCGATAAAATATTTGCATGATCTAATTGCAACCGCATGTATTATTAATCTCGTTGATAAATATTTTTTATAAATAAAACAAACGCTAATTATTATGATAAAAATTTTCAAAAAGTTTTACTTGCCTTGCGTACACATCCACAGCTCTAGAGTATGACCGAGCACTGGGAGGGACGGCAAACTTGGTATATTATTAATCAATCTTACGAATCTTGCATAATGAAATAGATAATATAGTAATATAGGAGTAATACTCAAAAGAAATAAAGTGGTAATCATTGTGTATGATTAGAAGTCAACTATGCTTTGTTTCTTTATTCAGTTTCTATCAACGCAGATACATAATATGATATGCTGCAATAAGAAACGTAAGATATTAATCACATTGAAAATAATAAAAAGACTCTAAATCATATAAGTAGTTTTGTTCACGTAAGATAAGATTATATAATCTTATCTTATATAAACTTTTTACACAATTATTTCATATAAGTTGTGTACGCGCGCACGCATGTGTGTGTGTGTGTGTGTAGCAATTTTATTATAAAAATCCTGTATCATATGTATTAAATAAATTAACGAGCAAAAAGTTAGAATGTTAAATTAATAAATTTTATTCAAATGAGTAATAATAATAAATAATGATGAATAAGACGTTTCAACTTGCTTAGTCATCATCAGCCATCGCAAAACTAAATTACATAATCTAAGAATACTGTAGAACGATACTAATTATATGGAAAAGACATATCAAAGTATTACAGTCTGTACTTATCAAATAATGGATTCATTTTTCATGTAATTAGTATCGTACTAGTATTCCATTAATGTAATTTAGTTTTGCGATGTTGGAAGAGGACTAATTGTAAGTAAGTCGAAACGTCCTATCTAGTTATTACTCATTTGAATAAAATTTATTAATATAACACTTCAATTTTTGCTCGTTTATTGGCCTTATTACATTTTTAATATGTAGTAGTTATATACTATGTTACCTCTCGCGATCAAATTATAGAGCGAGTTAAACTGAATAGAAGTAAGATCTTGTACTGTTTTATAAATTTCTGAATTAATGAAAAAAAAGTTGATTAAATAAAGATCCGCAAATTAATCTGCATTTGCGCAGTTTGACGAAACGAGATTGCGCAGCGTTTCTTGTTGCTAAGCGTAGGATGCATTGACAAGAGCATTTTACAAACAGCGACGGTTACGCACGAGTGACACAAAACGCTGCACACCTCACATTAGGGGCCGTCTATATATTACGTAAGCATTTTTGGCCATTTTTTGATCCCCCCTCTCCCCCATGTAAGCAAATGTCAGAATTCCTGAAACCCCCCTCCCCTCTCCCTAATTTTGTAAGATTTTCCCGATTATGCTCGTAAAATTAATATTGCTCGTTTTTCATGACAGCAGCAGACATGAAAAATCTTACGTAAGGATATGTACGAACCCCTACCCCTCCTCCTCCAGTCATGTTTAATATATGAACGGCTCCTTAGGTCATCTCTAATGAGAACACTCATTAAAACTTACGATACACTAATGAAAAAAAAGAAGTCAAGGTTAAACAACTCATTGATTATTGTCAATTCCTCCACTCATGAATTGCATATTTTCTGCAGCATTTTTTACATTTGGATTGACAGAGATTTTTGAACAAAAAATCATTTCTTAACAACATACTTTGCGTCTTCTACTTATACACCATGTTAATATACATATCTACGAGACTTTTTTTCATCACTGTACAATAAGTTTTAATGAGCATTTTTCATTGAGGATGGCTTAATGTGAAGTCAGAACTTTTGAAATTTTGTTTAACTTCAATTCCATGTGAAATACATTTTTAATTTACTAGCATTAATATTTTATTTGACTTGTTTTTTTGCGAACATACGTATAACTCGCAAAGCTTAACTACACTTAAACGTAAAACAAGTTTGTATTTTTCTTCAAAGCTTAAACTCTAATACAGTATAGAATAGAAAAAATAATATACAACTTACCTTAATATAAAAAGTGTTCCAAGCTACTCTCAATATTTTTTTTATATCTCAAAACACGTATATTACACATTAAAATACACATTAATTTTATATGAATTATTTTGATAACTTGTTTGAAAAATTATAGAACTGATCTCGTTATAATTAAGGAAACTTTGTAACAGCTTCGCACAAGCGATAATAACAGAATCACTGCTATCTCGTCTTTGACCTAAACACTCAAGGTAACTTCTTATAAATTCTGCACAACTAGCGACATCATATCTGAGTGGTTTCAATCGCGAATTCTAGGTATCTCACGTCATTCAGTCGAATGAGATGTACGAGTGAGATCAACAAGGACAAAATAAATTATGTTGAAATCATTATCACTTCTACAGGCAGCTCTCTTTTACATTATGATCAGTTAGTCTAATAAAAAGAACTATGATAATGTAATGTAGAATTAATAAGAAGTATCAGATACACAATCTTAGCATTTAATGAATTCAAACTTACATTCTAAATAATATTTTCACAGCGCAATAACTACTGATGTTATATATATTTGAATAAAGTTTTGCTCAAAAATAAGATACGTTCATATTACTTAAAATGCTATCTGTAAACACTTTTATTGCCGTTTGAATATGTATGTATATTAGGGTGAACCAAAAAAATTTTTTTTTGAAAATCGATTAGTAATAGTCCAAAAGTTAGCTATGGACCTTAATATATATCTGGGTAAAATTTCATCGAAATCGATTAATATCTTCAGGTTGTCCCTCGGCTTTGAAATTAGTAACTTTATGCATTTCGTATAAATTTTTAAAGCAATTGTGTGTTTTCTTTACATCAATTGATTCATCTCATTATTCTGTGCCTAAAAATATTAGGTACCATTATCAAGAAATCAATAGTTTACGAGATATTTCATATTATACATCAAAATATGGTATGATAAAGTATAAAATATCTTGTAAAATATTGATTTTTCGATAACTTAACCTTGATACTTCTATATGCAGAATAATTAGAAGAATAGTATTATGTAAAAAAAAAAAATTAACTCCGTTTAAAAAAAAATCGATGTGATCTTGATTTGATCTTAATGACGCCATCTGAAATAAAATTAATGATATTTTCTTATGTATCTCCCCGAACCGTGCAATTTTTATTTGAAACATTGTTTTATATCTATCATATTTTTCGAGAAATCTTAATGTATTATTTAAGAATATATTTTGGATCCGTCATTTTGAAATGTATACTCCTGACCTCGAATTCGTAATTCGTGTTTAGCGACCAAAAAACAACAGGTAATACTTAAACTGTATTGAAATTTGAATATTTTTTTAATTTTGACACATCTATGAAGAAATAAACTTACTAACTGCAAGATCGAGGGGCTACCTGAAGATATTAATCGATTTCGATGAAATTTTACCATATTGAGATCCATAGCTAACTTTTGGGGGGTATTATACTAAATCGATTTTCAAAAAAAATTTTTTTCGGCCCATTCTAATATAAATGTCAATAAAATGCATTTAATTGTCCCAACAATATTTATAATACACTGAGAAAAATATTGTTGATATAATTAAATGCATTTTATTGACATTTTTTTTTAAGTTTAATTATACATATATGTTTTTAAGTTAAACATATATCGACAATATTAACATAATATTTTTGTAAATTAACTAATAATTGTTTAATGATCCGTGATCGTCGTGTATACTTGAATTAAAAAATATTTTATTTTACGCTTTTTTTCTCTCTGTGAATGTTTCGATATTAATTATGCGTATGTAACGTACGAACAGGTTTTGTAAATAAAAATAATTTTTTAATAAAAATATCATTACATATTTGCTTGATAATTTTAATGTTGTTGAAAAAGAAGGCTCGCGTGTTAACCTTTATCATTTGCCATATTATCATGCCTGAGCGCGTGAATGTTTAACTCTGTAATTTGAGAATTTCAACCGTTTAGATTTAGAAATTATAAATAGTTTCGACATTTTCGTCTCTAAATTATTTCCGGAGTACGTTCTTAAGAAAAAATGCGGTAGTGACAGAACATACATTATGCATTCATACGTATATATAGAGGGAGAGGCATCTAAAACAAAACAATATAAGATTGATGTTTCAAGATTTGTGATGCATAAAAGTAAAAGGTACAATTAATATTTAGAAATTTATGTTATTGAGAATGACATTAAGAAGTTTTTATTTTTACCCAAATTTTGACCTTGATAAAAATTTCCATGTTATTTGAATTAAATTATGAATTGATTTAGTCAGAGGCGTGGCCATAAAACTGTTTATTGACCTTTTTATGCGTTATCAACCTTGAAACAAAATAGCCATTTTTAGACACTAATCTCAAATATTTCAGAAACCTGACTTTTGCAGGCAGATTCAGATTCAGCGTTTTAATATTAAAAAATAAAAATATCGCTTCTGTTTCTTAAATCTTTTAACACCCTCGATCTTGCAGGCCTGTGTAATCAACAAGCTCTAAATAGAAATTGTTCCAAAGGAACAATAGTCTTAATCTTTTCTATTTCTTCTAATTTTTCCTAATATCAAGAAAAAGAGTAAGAGTTTCTGAGAAAAAGAAATATAAAATGCTGATATAAATGTTATTACAAATGTATCTTTCTTCTCTCAAAACGTTCTCTTTTACGGTAATAACATCAAATGATACGCTAGGCTAAAATATCTCATGTCAAGTTCACACACGAACAATGTACGAATGGCAAAATCAGCTTTTTTAATGTAAAGCGTCTAATTAAGCGAAATGTTTTTACATTTGTGCCTAATAAATACTGTTATTTGCAATAAATAATAACATAAAAAGATGTGGAACGAGTAGTTTATAACATGGATATGAAGATCCATATTTTTTGTATTCTTAACATTACAATTTCTTTTGTTTCTTTTGTTTGTACTTATACCTATTTTTGACAGTCAAATAAACAATAGAATAAATATTATTACAATAACAACAATAAAATAAATATTAATATATTGGCAAAGCAACGTAAAATTTTCTCTCATCTGATTGTGAGATGTATGAATTTATAAGAATAGATAAAGAGAAGAGGTAGACATTAAAATAACATTAAAACAAATAAATAAGTAAATGATGTAAAAATGTAAGTAGTATATAAATTCCATATGTATTCATTTTGCAAATTAACTTTTTATTAACGGTAGTCCGAGTACAACCAAAATCTTTTTTGGAATAACTGATCGAACGCAATAAATTATTTCATCAAATATCAAATTCACATATAGCATATCATAATATAATTATGAACTAAATCTTTGTTATACATAAAAACGCGTGAATTGTTTATAAATTATTTATAATAAATTAGAAATATAACTAAATAATGCAAATGCAAGCCGACATGTGTATTATATAATAATTTTTATTATTACAATGTCCAACCATACATAAACTACGCGTCGCGACGTTTTATCAGTTTTAAAATACAGTTCGTTACATAAAGCCGGAATCCTGTAACGAATTAAATTGACAAACAATTTAATATTTTTTATACTAACAAACTACATCTATATCCCCTGCCTCCAAAATGTATTTATAATAAGTTTAACAATTATTTAATTTTTACTACAAACTTTTTTACTCTCGAAATATGCAATCGCGTTAAACGGCAGTATTGACGATTGGGACAAACCGCATACGAAGCGGATGAGTAGGACGCAACACCAAATCTATTTCCAATCGTAAGTCCTTTAAGTAATCAACGGGCTCCAAGTAGAAATTATGAATCAGAGGAGCTATCATCGCTTTCAGCTCCAGCATAGCAAATCGTTGACCTACAATTT